CAATTGAATCATCGATCTATCGACTTAGACAACAGCTTTTTTGGCTTTTTTTTGGGGGGGGGAAATTGTCTAAAACTCACCATACATTTTCCACATTTCTCTTAAACTCACTACAACTTTTTAAAATGTCTAAAACTCACCATGTCACTAACTCGACGTTAAACAGACTAACGGGTGTTAATATATTACTATTTTAATCTTCATAGATAAATATAAAATATATGCATATATATATATATATATATATATTAATATTTAGACATGAGAAAAGGAAAAAGTTCAAACAATATTTTCAAATATAAAATACATAAAGACATAGAAATTACAAAAATATAAAAAATTATAAAAATTGCAAACAAAATAAAAAATTATTTTCAAATTATAGAAACTATAGAAATTGAAAAACAAAATCATAAAATAAAAATTGTAGAAAAAACATAAAAAATTATAGAAAAACACAGAAATCGCAAGTAAACAACAAAAAATACAGGAAAATTTATAGATTGTAGAAAATAGAAAAATGTAAAAAAAACAGGAATTATAAAAAACATTGGAAATTATAACAAAACACTAAAAATGCAAAAAAAAAAATGAAAACTGAAAAAGACAAAAAAAATCTCGAATAAATGCACCATTTTCCTCTAACTCGCCATTTAAGAGTAATTTGATCATGAAAATTGTTATTTATGCGGACGTAAACACCTCTGATGGAGAGTGATTTGGCACGACCTAGTAAGTAGAGGTCACGTGGATGTGATCAGCCAGTAAGATGACAACTCAACAAGGAAGCCTCGTTAGCAGCTCAGGAGCTCGAGAGCTTGAGCACCTCGATGTAAGATCATCTTAGCATAAAGGCACCTTGGCCCCTAATTTAGTTCGGGGCCAAAGCACCTCGATGTTTTGCATATTGATCTAACTCGCCATGCGAGTACGTCTAAGCAATTCTCGAGCTAGGTGCTTCTAGATCGCACACCATCAACCTCTATTAAAAAGCATTAATGGGCACTAACAGAGGTGAGCTTTGGAAAATAAAAACATAATGACATTGTGAGTTTTAGACATTTTGAGAAATTATGGTGAGTTTAAGAGAATGCTGAAACTCATGATGAATTTTTGACAATTTCTCTTAGGACCAGACGAACAGACCATTCAACCTGAGAACCGAACCCCATAACGATTGTCCAATCCGATTTTAAAAACGTTGGGAAAAACAGACCTGTGTCATCTAACGATTTTAAAAAATAGAAATGAGCTAAAGTCACGGAGATAAGGAAACAAGTGAACTCCAGTATTAGTAACCATTTCAAAGCTAAAGCATATTAATTCGAGGGTGGCGATGGAGCTACTGGAGTAACCGGAGAGATAGAATTCGAGGGTGACGGCGCTCCTGGTAGAATCGATGGCGTCAGCGGCTGAGATGTGGGAGACAGAGCCGCTACAGGAGGAGACAACGTTGATGGATGTTGGTCAAACTAGGTAAATCAGTCTGTAGTAAATTTCACCGAGAAGAAACAACGCTTGATTCTTGACAGGTGGTGTTTATTTTTTCCGACAATGAGCATCAGAAAAACCTGACGATTTATAACCGCGATTCTTGTTTTAAGTTTAAACAAACTCTATTTCTCTTATGCGTCCGAAGTAATATTACTTTAGAAACTAAAAATAAGAAGTTAATAGAGAATTAGGATCTAAGACAAGGGCCGCTAATTTTCACCGTAAATTTTAAAAGAAACCGAAGAGATGACTTTCAAGGGTGTGGGGCAATAGGTTTGGTGCTTGCATTTCTGTTAACGGTTATTCAAATGATGTAGGTTTATTCAAATATTACATTTTGAAAATTTAAAGAAAGATGGGTAAAATTTAAATGTTGGTGCTTGCATTTAATCAATTGTTTAAGGATAGTTTAAGTCAATTTCTAAACAGTAGGGATGAATAAGTCAATTTCTTAAAACTCGGGAATACTTTTAAGAAATTTGCCCTAGGAACAATTGTGATGCCAATTAATTGGCTATAAGTTTTTTGGGTATGCTGTCTTTCTGGTATTATAGTCAAAATTTATATATAATATCATGTAATAGTAATATATTTAACTTCATATATGGACTGATTGGATGGACCAACAAGACATATTGAATTGTGCCAGTCCAAACTTAATGGTCCAAACTGAAAATTGGATTGGATTACACCCAATCCACCCTTAATGGATTTATATTTGATTGAGTCAAATTGAACCAATATTCAGGGTGAATTGAGTCAAATTGACCCAATCCACCCTTAATGAATTTATATTGGATTTGATGGACCAACAAGACATCTGTTGTACGACTATGATACTGGGAAGCCATGATATGGAAAAAAACCTACAACCAATCAATCAATATCGTAAAAGAGGTGACCAATCAGATTGTATTTATTAAAATTCTGGAGGGTGCTTTGATCGGTGAAAGCCCTTCCACTATCATAGAATTTCCCTTGAAATTATATCTAGCATTTTCAATGAAATCAATCATGTGCAACGGCAGATTTTGTGATTTTGAAGGGATTTGAGATGAAAATGTATTTCATCTTTTGTAGCCTATCTCAGTCAGACCGGTGTGTGACTGATATATGCAGTCATAACTTACTGAAGAATAACAAAATCTGTAATACATTCTATTTGTTTACTAAAAAACAAAACATATATATATATATATATATATATATATAAAAATAGATAGATATAGATATATACTTTTATTTTTAGTTTTTGATAATTTATTAATTTATTAAAAATTAAATCGGATCAAATCAGGTATGGATATTCAACACCCTTATCAGATTCGAATCCAGTCCGATCTATTTGCATCCCTAAAAATCATAAAATCAAGGCCTCCCATGCATTGATGTAGCCCCACCTTATATCACTTCATCCAATTCAAATTGGGTCCACATCAATATATCAAAGGCCGGGGCCATGCTTTACGGTTTTAGCCCAAGGCTACTCCAATGGGCTTACCTGATTTTTGAGCGTCAAGACATATTGCTATATTAATTTGCTACATTAATAACGAAAAATTAAATGTAAGGGCAGCAAAATATAAATGGTCCTCCATTTGGTATGAAGGTGGAAGCTTCTATATGCGGAAAAATTGACCATGGTTTTTAAAACCGAACCGGTTAGGGGTCCGGTTGCCGGTTCAAGCGGTCCAATCGTTCGACTCAAACGGCTGGCCTGTTCTGACAAAAAATTTAAAAAAATAGAAAACGGTCAAAACCGTTCGAACAGTTAACTGGCCGGTTCAACGGTTTGTTGACCAAAATCAATGGTTTTGGGGGAAAATGAAGTCGGTCAGGTAACCGGTTCTTGGTTTTCCCGGTCCGGTCCGGTTTTGAAAACCATGAAATTGACTGTCTAAATTGGACAGCCTCAGCTGTGAACAGGGCTCTCCTGACATGACACGTTAGTTCATGTGTCAAATGCATAGTTGGGTGAGATAAGGATTTGGTCCTCAGAAAATTCTGTTTATACCATTCTCACAGCCTTTTTCAGTCGTGTATTAGAAACATCTTCCCATGATAAAAGGATACAAGTATAAAGATATTTCCAATGCACGGCTGAAAGAACGGTGTAAACCAAATTTTGTAAGGACTGAATCTGCCCTCATTGGGTGAACCAACAGCCCATGCTGAGGCTGTCAAACCAGAACAGCCAAGTTGAAGTGGCAGTCGCTTTTGTTTGAAAACAAAACCATACACATTGGTTAACACTCCTTTAACTTGAAATGGATAGAGACGATGAAGACAAAGCAAGAAAAACAGTTTAATTTAACCAAGTCAGCAGTTATTGGATGGCCCCTAAAATAAACCATCAGCTTGCTTGTATGCTGATGCTGTCGACTCGTCCACTAGCATGGCTGTGGTGGTCCAGGTCAAGCAAGCAGTAATGGTGGTTCACAAGTATCCACCACCACTAGGTTGTGGCTATCCCAAGCCACAAGACCAAATGGTGGTGGTAATTAAAAGACCGAGAGAGAGAGATAGGGAAGACGAGTCAAAGTCAGACTGGTCAGTCTTTCATCTTGATCTGTTTGAACTGGTTTTAATTTGAGAGAGAGATGTAATGAAAAAGATTTTGATTGTTCCGACCAGGGGTGGAGCAGGGGGACCCAGGGGAGCCATGCCCCCCATGGTTCAGAAACTCTTCTTAGGCTATGTTTGGTTTGAAGGAAAATGTGAGGAAAAGAAAGGAAAGGTAGGGAAGTCCATACAAGGTTTGTAAAAGTTTTCCTGCATTTCCTTTTCTTTTCCTACTTTTTTCCTTCAAACCAAACACAGCCTCAATTCCTATGTAAATTTTTCCCTCCTCCCCCCCCTGGGTCCATTCATACTTCATTTAAGTTTTGGCCCCTTCTATAAAAATTATGGTCCCGACTTTGTAATAATCAGAATTGGAATGGGAATCAGAATCAAAATCCATCTGTCTGTTTGATTGAGACGGTAATCTGGATCAGTTGCAATGAATTATCATTGGATAGGGGAGGAAATGGCCATTCCATCAAATGGAAGAATGCCATTTCACAGAAATGAAACTGGGATTCCAATTCCACCCAACCGGAACTGGAATTGGAATTGTCAGAATGATCAATTCCTATTCCAATTCCAGACCCCTATTCCTATGAACCAAACAGATCCTTGATTAATATGTAATTGCAATCCCATTGACCCAGTAGTAGTCGACAGCTTTACCAGTGGAATCTTCATATGGTTTCTCTCCACAGAAGAGCCAATACCACAGCATATATCTGGCCTTTTGAATCCAATTGTTCAGGATTCAAACCACAAAGCCTTCTGCACCGACCGTTTTTCACTGGAATACCCCACCCAGACCACTAGCCTTTCAGGCTTTCAGATAAAAGAATTTAATACGCCAGCTGTATATATATCGCTCAATTGCATTCATACATTGTTAGCAGAGCTGGCTAGATTTTCAGTCCAGACATGGCAAGGCATTAATTTCCTAGTTGTGAAAATGGAGTATCTTCATTTACCTGCTAAACTATGATCGAGAGAAACAATGAACAACAAGGCTGCCAACTCAACCACATGTATATGAGAATCTAACAGCCCAATTTCCTTAAATAGATGACAATGTAAACCTTTACATTCTTGAATAAAGTAGTGGAAAACCACAGAACAAATATGTTAGATGCTTGAGCTGGGATACAGAATCATGGCAGTGGTTCTTGAGAATCTCCCAGGCGAGACAAATGAAGGTATGCATCCGTCCCTGTAAGAATACATTTAAACTTCATTCAAGAATCAACTGGCTTCATGTTTAAGCTTCAAAAATAACAGGTAATAACAAGTTACTCAAAGATACCATAAGGAGCTTCTAATGATCGTCAACGACAAGAACTATATACAAGTTAGATCAAATGTAAGAAGGCATAGGTGATAGATATTGCATAACGTTCACAAAGTACATGTTGGGACGAGAGTAAATTGAAGATATCATGGGAACTCGTATTTTTAGAAATGCGAATCAAGCTAAAGTTAGTTGGATGGGATCTAAGAATGGGAATTTTTTTGGTCAAAACTTTCATAGTTTGATGCAGAAGGGTGAAAGCGAGGTCTCAGGTATTGTCATGCCCAGCTTGTCCAAACTCCAAAGCTATCTGAAAGTTGTAAATACCTCCCAGATTCAGCCTGTACCTGTGGAGGGTGTGTAGAGGGTTTGTAAAAAATACCTCCCAGATTTACTTGTTCTGTTTTTGTCCTTCTACAAAAGCTGCTTTATTTGCAGGTTCTATGGGTTTGCAAGTGGACTAGATAAATAATAATTCAAATATGTTGGACATTATATCCATTTTGTTGAATTCTGTTCAGTGTATCTCTGTTAGACAATAAATTCTTAAATGGTTGGCCTGTGTATTTTATTTATGTTTGGGATGCTAGAAACTTAGCAGACTTTTATGGGAAAAGGAAGACTCTGGACTGGGTAATGCAGCATCCTCGAATATCTTTAAGACCTCTGTTGGAAATACACAGTTGAATGAAGGATTAATGACTTCTGGTAAAAAATAACCCACAGAATTCTGTTGTTTGGTGTCCTTCTCCGGTTGGGTTTGTTAAAATCAATTGTGATGGTGGTATAATTTCACAATATAAAGCTTCTTAAGGGGTTGTTGCTCGAAATGATAGAGGTGTCTTTTGCATGGCTGCAGGTGGCCAATGGGGGTCTTGGAAGCTGAATTTATTGTTATCTTATGTGGAATGAAGTATGCTAGAACTAAAGGATGGAGAAAAATGGTCATTGAATCATATTCACAGCAAGCTATTTATATTCTTAAAGGGGTTTATGGCAATTTTCCTTGGTCTTGTTTCAAGATCTTGGACGAAATTTGTTTATGTAAAAAACTTTTTTGAGCAATTAATATATATATATATATATATATATTTAGAGTCAAAAATATGGACACAGACTTCATTGTTTTTGATGAACCTCAAAATTGGTTAGATGAGGTTCTTTCGTATGATTGTAAATATTTAGTTTCTTTATGTATTAGTTTTATTGAGCCAATAAAAAAATCAAATTTAAGGGTGTGGTATATAGAACAGCACAAATTAATTTTCCACCATGTTAAATGGCAACATGTGAATGTTTTTAGGCAAACAGAATATATGCTTTATCTACTTCCATTAAGAATTCTTTATGCACAACATTTACTGCCTGATATCATACTAATGCCTTGTTAATGATTATGTCACTTTATAGCATTTTATGTTGTTAGAAGACATTTTCATTTTTACTTTAATACGTTAATTCATGTAGCAGAACATTAAGGAGCTAACAAATCCTTCCAGTGACAGTTTCTATATCTGTAGTAAGAAAAGTAATTAAGGACCTACTGATAATACTACTTAGATAAAGCTAACTCAGTTCAATTCAACAAAGCCTTAACCCTAACTATATAGGATTGGCTACATAAATCTTGTATAGCCCTTCCACTCTATCAAGGGCCATATCCATTGTTATGTTGTGCCTTCAAATCATTTATCACTACCTCCATTCATGTCTTCTTTATCTATTGAGAAGACATTACAGCAGAAACTGATGTATGATGATAAGCAAATATTCAGTGTTATCACTTCAGAACAATTTTTATTACATACAACTTAAAACAAGAGATGAATATCTAAATGGATTACTACTAGTTGTAATTTTTCTTAAGATGTTAGACAAAAAATGCTTGCTACTAGCCACTTTAGATAACCAATTTAGTAGTTTTTTCTATCTGGTAAAGGGGAATATTTTTGCATGAAACATCATTCTTGGTGCTAATCCAAGAGTCAATATATCTTAAATTAACCAATCACTGTGTGACAGGTGTTTGTTATAGTTGAAGACCCATACATGCGAGAGTAACTGAGTTACATAAGTGTGGGATCCTGTCATGTGTTGCTTGGTTAGTGTAGGAAGTTTAAGAAAAAAATGTTGAAACTTGCAATTTCCCAATCCAAATAAAAGGGAAAAAAAAATTTTGGACTAACCATATCCTTCCATTGAGATAATTTGCAGATCACCTCCAAAATAACGAGCATAGAGGCGACTTATTGGAAGCCCATATCCATATCCAGCCATTGTCACACCATCGGTTGATACAATATCTGAATGCTCATCCAATGGGTTTTTTGCTGTACTATAAAGATATGTGAATATCTTTGGAAGGCCACTTCTTGGTATCCCACCACCTTCATCTGAGATCTACAATATGAACACAAACAAACTTGTTAAGCATAATTACAAACACATAATTGGTATCCCACCTTTTTCCTCCCCCCCACAAATAAAAAAGAAAAAGAAAAAGAAAAGAAAAACCACCACCACCACCTTCTAGAAAAGGTCATTATCCAATATTTGGGAGGGGTGGAATGGTTGGGCACAGAGTGGCCACTCACAGACTTGAGTTCTTTCTTTCAGGGGGGGGTAGATGGTTGGCTAACCTACAAAAATATTTAATATAGACCAGCAACAACTTGGAGATCTTCCAAATCTTGACATAGAAGAACACCTCTCTCAAGTTAAATTGAAAGTGGATACCTTTATTGTAACATCCTCTATTCCATCAGCAACTATGATTCTAACTGGAGGTGCAACTTTTTCTGAGTTCATAAATTGCTCTTGAACAGCACGCAAAGAATTCTTAACCAACTCAAATACCATAAGATGCAAATGTGTTGGAACATACCTGTTGCAAGGCAAACAAGGGTAAGGGAAAAGCTATAAAAAACAAAGAGAAAAGCTAATTAGTACATTCATGGGAACCAAAGGAAGCTCACATGGGTGACAAAATGAGAGGAAATGGCTAACAATCTTGGCAGTTGTATAGAGGAATGCCAAGTATATGAGTAACGATGGACCTCGTGCAAATTGAGGTTTCTAAAATATCTAGGAGGCGGCCAAAAAGGATATGGGTTGAAGTAGTTAGTAAAGAACCAAGAACTCAGAATTAAGAAAAAAAAAAGGTACTGCTCTTGATAGAAGGATTCCTGTAGCCAGCCCCAAATAGTCAGAATAAGATTTTTTTGAGCTGACTTGAGCTGTATTAAAATCAACCAAATTCATGATATCCATTTGGATGAAGTTAACATTAGTATCAACATGAATGGACAACTATTTTTCCATAACCTATATAGCGCTCCAATTATGCACTTAAAAAACAGCTTTGGATATACAAAAAACAAAATTTATGTAGCCAATCCGAAAAAAAAAAGCATGTACAAAGCTTGGATGATAAAATGATGATTCTGAGGTCCTTCAACCTTTGCAGATTAGGACATAAAAATAGTTGTTTCAAAGGCTTGCCTAGAATTTGTGAATAATATTTCCTAGCTGCTAGAGCAGAGGATCAAATGCCAGAAACTGGTCAAAGGACACTATAGATAGATTAGCTCACACTATAACCCCCCCCCCCCCGAGTCACTTCAAGTACCAATGGAAGCAAGAACTTGTAACTGTTAGGATTATGTAACCAAATAGTAAAGAAACTTGCACAAATTGGTCTCGTTTCAAATATAATATAATCTCTAGCACATTCAGAAAAAAAATGGTCATTCTAGCAATAGAAAATATGAACCTTGACATAGAAATAAAACAATAACAAAACACAATAAAGAGTGTGGCAGTAATATTACTGAAATTTCAGTAATATTTCAGCAAAACCTTACAATACCAAAAAAGAATAAAAAAGTGGAAAACCTTGACCAAATTGAAGGAAAAAACCTTACGGAAATGTAAAACTGGGATCTCCGTATATGTTAACATCAGGTGCACTTCCATACTCTCGTAAACAAATAGCGCGGGCATCCTCACTAGCATTTCGTGCTACCTCCACGGGAGACAGTTTAGTATGTATATAACCTACAACATCAGGTGGTGGATTGGGATCATGCAAAGCCACATGCTGCCCTGAGTTTCACCAAAAGTTGAAGGTTCGATCAGTGCATTTCATGTAAAACATGGTCAGGTAAGTCCCTTGAGAACATCATAAAGATCATTGAAGGGGAAAAAACAAATAGCTACAAACTTGAAAAAATCAGATCCAACTACCTAGGACATAAAAAAGAAAGAGTGAAAACAGAGCTAACCAATAAGCATGCGAATCCCAATTCTTGACATGTAAAAACGATCAAGAAACTGGTGAATCTCATCAAGACCCTCAGGAACAAACTTCACCTTCGGAGTCGAGTCTTTCTTCAGCTGCTGAACACCCAAAGCCATCATTGGAACAACATTATTGTGCCTTACTTTGATCATCTTAATCATTTCTGTGAAAGCCAACTCATCACTTGTATCCTTTATCCCTGGAAAGCACCGCAGATCACGGAAAGAATCCAAATACCAATCTTGTACCTAGATAAGAAATAACACCAAAAAAATACAAGTTCAAAACCTTTCTACTTGGCATTCCTATACCAATTCAAGGATCTAACAAGCAAAATTCAAATATCCAAAGTCAAAACTTGACTAAACATTCCAAAACCAACTCACAATAATCTCCAAGACTTTTAATTTCCGTTTTTTCTATTGAGGGGGAGGGGTGGGATCAGAACCAAAAGAAGAAACAGAGTGAAGCTCTGTAAGAACTAAAATCAATCTGCCTGCACTGTTCAAAACTTATTTACAAAACTAAAGCCAATGAAGAGCAAAACCAATCTACACCTCAATCTGCAGGACGAGTCCAAAAGAAATCAATGAATTAAATGTTGTAAGACGAAAGTTCATGTTGACACAAGAAATCAAAAGTTTTTACAATGCTTATGAAAGAAATAGAAAAATAAATAGTAAAATGCAGATTTAATATGCGTCACCCGAGGAGCACACTCTTAGAAAAAAGATATATGTTAATGAAATCCTTCTTTTTTTGTTCATAATAAAATCCCTTAAGAAAAGCCATACATTAAAAGTTTACACAAAATACTAAAGAAGATGGAGGAGTAAAAACAACCATGCAACCACATCAAGGGGAAAAGGTATTAAATTATTCCTTTTTTCAATTCTGGGGTTCGTTGTTTCCCCCTGTTCCATAAAGCTTTTCTACCTTCTTGTTCTGTAATAAGTTTTCACAAAATGACCCGAAAAAGAAAACAAAATAATATATAATCTACAGAAAAGAATAATCACAGAATTGTTCAAACAACCTAAATTCATTCTCGCAAGCACATCGAAAAATCAAAAATAGAAAGAAAGTTAAGGCAATTCTATAAATCACTCTAGACAACAAACCCCACTTGCACAATCCATGCCAATGGCCATGGAAAGTGAAAACCAAAACCAACTAGCAGAGCCCACGCCAAATATCCGTCAAACAAAATCCCATGTACATGGTCCATGCAAATAGCCATGAAAACCAAACCCATTGCAGAGTCGAGAGTCCACACCAATAGCCAACAGAAAAGCCAAGACCAACACAGAAGAAAAAAAAAAAACAAAGAAACTGAATTTACGCAATCAAACAGAGAAATACCTTCAAAACAGCTGGCTTATTAGACAAACCATAAGGCAAATTCTCAAGCTCAATGGCCCTCCTGGCAATTCTTATAGCAAGCTCCTTGTGAAGGAACTGAGCAGATATGAGCAAATTCTTCTCAGTGGGCTTCGACCCAAACTCCATCATGTATCTCAAGCTCACACCAGTTTGTTTCATACAGCCCCATCTGTGCACCTCTTCGATCAAGGCCTTAGAGAACGACTCGCATAGTTTCTTGGCTGCCATGACTCAAGAACAGTGACCAACAAGTCACAACCAAAAGTCCGCAAGGCAGAGAAGAACGAAACATGCAAACAAGGCAAACAAGGCAAAGCTGACACAGATTTGAGGAGAGAGGGAGAAAAACTGAAATGGTGAGAGAGAGTTATATATGTGGAAGGAGAGAGAATAACTGTAGAGAACTTGGGTTAGATTTTTAACCAGGGTTAGTGGTTAAAGGTGGCTTCTTTTGGTTAAAACTTGAGTGACTCGGGAGTCTGAACTTTGGAGGTTTCTTCTTTTTTTTTTTTTTTTTTTTTTTTTGCGTCTGGGTGTGTGTTAAAACTTAAAACGGCCCGGCTGGTTCGGATTCGTTGCCATGAAATGAGATTTCGAGGTCGTCGATCGTCGTTGTCGAACTGTCAAAGAGGGCACACGGTTTTCGTCGGAAACGTAGGGACGGTTTTGGATTTGAACGAGGCTGTAAGAAACAACAAGAACCGTTATTGGACGTCTTATGATCAATCATCTTATCTAATCAAATGCTAACCTATATCACCTGCTCTGAGCAACGACAATATGCAACTCCCGGTTTTCTTCGCCTTACAGACAAAAGACAAAGGTGGGGCCCATGGAAAGATATGTCCTAATCCGACTCTATCATTTTTTTTTCTTGATTAATTGAAAACTAAAATGTCCGACCCTATCCGTAAATCTGTAGTCTGTAGAGGAAGAGTGTGTTTTTCGTGTCATGGGTCAGACCATGTCTGTGGCCAGTTCGGATTTCCTCCACTCAGAATCCTCCTTGCATCCAACTCACAGCGCTATCCAGCCACATAGGAAACATTTCTATATTTTGCATATTTTTATTCTTAGTGCCAATGCATGGCCGTTTCGATCCGAATTCGGATTCAGACCTCACATCTAGGTGAAAGGTGTTCTGAGGCACCCTGTGTGAAAGCACTAATCTGATTTTCAGGTTCACAATATATATATATGTATATATATATTGTGAGGATGACATGACGACCAAATCGGATTTCCTTCAATCCCCATACATTTCATGAATTGAGAACATCTTAAAACATACAAGTATAAAAGCATTCCCAATGTGAAGTTGCTGGCTTGCTGCAACATGGTGTAGGTGGGTGTGAAGAGAAACCAGAGCACTATGACAACAAGTAATGCAAAAAAAGAAAAATCAATATAACTTAATTATGTTTTCACTATTTTTAGTATTTATGTTATTGATTTTATGCTATTCAAATAATAACGTTTCAAAACCTTTTTTGTTGGATGGTTGAAACCCTAAAATATCAGAGGAAATTAATTTAGAAATCAAGGGGAGAGATGGCTAAATATCACGAATAATAATATTCGTTTGATGGCAAAATTGTAAGACAACCAATCAATTATAGAACAAAAGAAACATAGAGTAGAATCGATAATTATATAATGGTACTAAATTGGAATTAGGGGCAAAATCGTCCTTTGAGAAATCATCAACATACAACTACTAGCCTATCGTGGAATTTGTACAAAAGGATATGTCAAGACAACTTTTATTCAATACATTTAAAAAAAAAATAGATAACACTAGAAAAAATGACCATGTAAAAATGTTTTACATGGGAATAGTCCATGTTTTATTTTTATGTTTTTCTAATTAAAAAAATTATAAAATTGAAAATTCTAAGAAGGATAAGGATATAATAGAAGGTAAACCGACATATACAATTACATTCTTTTTTTTTATAAAGAGAAGCAAACTGATATCATTAAAGAAACAAAGTTACCAAATATAGTTAAGGTCTAGCTAAGTCTTACTTAGCTAGGGCTTGAATCCACTCCGGTGGATCTTGTTCAAATAACCTAGACTCAACTAGACCTTTCTTAGCAAGCTCATGGGTTGTAGAATTACAAGATCTATTTACAAAACCAAAAGAGATAGCTAAATCATCAGTCAACAGCTTAATATCTAAACAGAGGAAGTTTGCATCTGAAACTAAATCCAAATTTCCAGTTCTAAGCACTGCACCAAAAGTTGACAGTCTGACTCTAACTTCAATAATTTCCTCATTGTACCTGCTCAAAACCTCTAGACTGTTGAGCACCGCCATTGCTTCAGCTTGAATGGGAGAAGATGCTAAAGATTTGCCAAAAACTGCAGTTATTACTGTGCCGGTCTCATTCCTTAACACTGCGCCAAAGCCTGACTTGCAAGGGCCCACAAAACTCCCATCCACGTTCAGCTTTAGCCTCCCTGGGAGATGGGTCAATATTTTCAAAGATTTTACTATTCCTAGACTTCCAAATATTCCATAATAGCAGAAAAGAGAAACAAATTAAGTCATCTTTCCTTTCTCTATTTGTTAAGCAATTCTCTAACCAGTTGGAAATTCAGCTATTAAAGAACAAAATCTAACCACTTCTCATACCCAAATAACTTAGGTGAGAGCCAAATCATGTAGCTTTTGCATGATCACATTCAAACAGGCAATGCATTACTATTTCAACATGATGGTTACAAATTGGGCATAAATTATCAATTGAGAGGTTTCTTTTGAAGAGGTTTTCATGCACAGCTAGAGCGTTTTGAGAACAATTCTAGATAAAGTTTTTGATTTTTGGGTCAATTTTTGTCTTCCAAATTTCAGACCGCTGGTTCTTTCTTAGAGGATCCGAAGGCCCATTAGTTGTCGTCTTGTTACTAGAAGTTAAAGCATAGTACCCCATTTTCACTGTATAATAACCTTTTGGGTTTAAAGTCCACCTTAACTTATCCTCCCAATTTCCCCTGGCCAGATTTATGCTCAAAATGTTTTTTGCAATTTCCTCTCCAAAATTTTCCTCCACCAATCTTGTATTCCACCCTCTCCCCTCTACTGTCATAAGATCTTTCACCCATACCAGACCTGGATTATTATTCCTAGGCCCTATGATTTTAAAAGCCCTGACCTGAGGTAGCCATGGATCATCTCATATCCTTACTTTTGTACCAGCATTTACTGTCTAGCATGCCCCTTTCTGGATGACCTCTCTTGCCGCAAGAAGGCTTTGCCAACCCCAAAAACTCCTCTTAGGCAAATTATCAATCAAAAAGTTTCTCTGTTTGATGTATTTAGCTTTCATAATCTTAGCACATAGATTGTCCTCTTCGACACATAGTCTCTAAGCTTGTTTTGCAAGCAAAGCTAGGTTGAAACTATATGGATCCCTGAATTCCATCCCACCAGCACATTTGTTTTTGCTAATAACTTCCCAACTAACCCAATGTGTTTTCCTCTACTCCTTTGTCCCCCCCCCATACCAGAATCTAGTTTGGATTCTCTTAAGTTCATTACAAACAATCTTTGGCAAGAGGAAGCAAGACATTGTATAGTTAAGAATTGCACTAGCATTTTGAAAGCAGATTTTTCACCCTTTCAATTAAGAAATTACAGAGATTTTTCTTTGATTTACCAATTTTTGCAGGAAATCCTAAGTAAATGGATGAGGTTTCTATTCTCTTCATTTTTAAAAAATTTGCCAAGAGTTTTTGTAATCTATGGTGTAGATTTTTATTGAAAAAAAAAACCTCATATTTAGAAAAGTTTACCTATTGTCTTGAGGCCTCCTCATAAAATTTGAGAACATCCAGAATACTCTACCCTTCCCCCATTTCTGCTTTAGAAAAATATGTGATCATCTGTAAAAAACAAGTGAGAGACAGTTGGATAATTCTTGGTAATTGAAATACCATTTATCTTCTTTTGGGATGTCATCTCAGTGATTTTTGCTGACAAAGTTTCAGAGCAAAGTATAAATAAATAAGGTGATAGGGGGTCACCTTGTCTCAATCCCCTTTCTGGAACAAACTTTTGACCCGGAATTCCATTGACCAGGATCCTATAAGAAACAGTAGTTACACATTTCATGACCCAATTTACCCATTTTTCACCTAATCCCATCTTTATCATAGTTTTTTCCAAAAAAATTCATTCTACTCTATCATAGGCTTTGCTCATATCAAATTTCAAAGCCATCCAACGAGTCTTACCTTTGGCATTTTTCATGAAGCGTATAATCTCATGAGCTATAAGAATGTTGTCCTAAATGTATCTTCCTGGGGTGAAGGCACTTTGATTTGTTCTGATTATACCTCCTAGAAAAGGTTTAATTCTATTTGCTAGGACTTTTGTTATGATTTTGTAAATGGAATTGCATAGACTGATAGGTCTGAAATGAGCAGCTTCCTTTGGATTTTTTATTTTTGGAATCAGTGCTATGAATGTTTCATTGAACTCCCTAAGCAGAGTTCTTGACTCAAAGAAGGATTTTACAGCCTTGGTTACATCTGCCCCTATTATTCCCTAGTATTTTTTGGAAAAAGAAGTTAGGAAATCCATCCGACCCAAGAGCCTTCCTAGGAGCCATCTGGAAAAGAGCCTCCTTAATTTCCTCACTTGTGACTTCTTTTTCAAGAATAACTCTCTCCTGCTCACTCACCCTAGGATTGACACACCTTAGGAATTCCTCTTGTTGCACTGTATTCAACGAAGTGAAGGTGCTCTTAAAGTGATTTTCTAGCTCTCTTGAAATCTCCTCTTCAGATTGTAACCATTCCCCACTGGTGTTTTTGAGATATGTTATTTTATTTATGTTGCCCCTCCCTTTTGCTATTGAGTGGAAGTATTTAGCATTTCTATCTCCAGCTTGCAACAAGTTCATCCTTGATTTCTGTTGCCACATCATCTCTTCTCTCTTTAACCAAGATTGCAAGTTTGTTTCTATTGCATCTGTCTTGTTATGGTCATAATCTATCCCCACCTTATCCATCACCTTATCCACCTCCTTACTAAGTTGGTCCACCCTTTAAGTCTGTCCTTCAAGGTTCTACACTTAATGCCCAACATCATTTCACTTGGTCCTCTTCTAGTGTTTCCCCAAGTTTCTTCCAGAAACTTTTGGAAGTCTTCATGGTTAGTCCACATTTCCTCAAACTTGAAGCCCCTCTTTCTATAATATCTCATGGTTTCAGTCTCTAGCAGGATGGAAAAATGATCTAATCCTAACGTTATTAGAGTTTTTAACTTACAACTTGTAAATTGGTTCTATCATTGAGAATTACCTACAGCCCTGTCAAGTTTGGCTCTTATTAGTTTAATACCTTCCCTT